GTAAATTTCATATAAAAGGTACTAGTACAACGCCCGTGGACTACGCGGGTGTTTCATAGAAAACTAATTGTTCAACAAAATTAAAAATAATTGAAACTCTTGGGAAATTAAAAACTATAAATAATTATTAAAAAATATTTTTTTAGTATTATTTTGAATTTCAAAAAATAATTTTATGAATTATTATTTGTTATATTCATATATATATTTACTTTTATAAAAATTAAATAGAACAAATAATTTATTCGATAGTTAATATAACACTCGTGAACAACAAGAGTGCTTGAAAATTAAATATTTTATCAAAATAAAGAAGTAAATAAATTAATATTTAGAATGACAAAAAATTAAATATATAATTAAAAATAAAAAATAATAAATTTAATTATTTAAAATAATGCTCATTTTTATACTTGTTAAAATGATAGTTCTTTTAACCCCACAACACACACATACACACACACACACACATATATATATATACATATATATATATATATATATATATATACACTATTTACACCTCAATAATTTGATTTTGAATTAATTTATTTGTTTTCAATTTTGATTATATTATATTTATATTTTATATTTAATACAATTTTTTTGCCTCATCTAATATTTTTTAAAATAACTTCAACGTTATAAGATTTAGTAATATAAATATAATGTGGATGAGATTAACCTTTGTGAAATATAATAATTACTTTTATTATTCCAATTATAATGTCCATTCTGTAAGTATTCTTTATTTAAGTTGAGACGTAAACTTTTGGAATATTTATTTAAATTACTTTGATGTTCATACTTAGTTTACATATATTTTATAAGTAAAATAATTATTTACGATATGTTAATACACATAAATCACTATTACTTTTTAAGATAATTTATAATTTTATTTGATATATTTTAATTCAGTTTGATAAATGAAACTAAATTTATTTCTAAAAATATATATCATTTTTTTTGTATTATATATATATATATATATATATAATATGGATGTTAAATCGAAAATTGTTAAAAGATAGCTATTTGATATATCATATATGAAAAATAAAATACAGAAAAAAAAGTTAAAACATTTTAAAAATAAGAAGAAGAAACATTTATAATAATTGAACTATGAATTAAATAACAAAAGAAAATGTAATATATATATGGTAATGTAGAAAACAGAAACATAAAATAGTTATAGTAAGTGGTAACTAATCTATCATTATATTAAAAGATTAACCATTTAACACTTTTAGCAAGTTTTTCCCGCCAAATACATTTAATGTCTCCTAAAAATAGAGCAGCATTAAATGTTGCCCTTAAATCATGGCAGTTGTTAATTTAGTTTGGAGAAAATCGTGGCAACTAAAACAAACAACATTAATTACGGCTGATTTAATATTTAAATGGTAAACAAATATTACTTTTTTATAACTGATTTAAACTTACGTCTGTTTAAAAGTAAAAAATTATTTTTGTAATTTCAACAAATTTGTACTCTTTAATGTACGGTTGATTTAAAATTAAGAATTTACTTTTGTATTTTCACAAAAAATCGTATAAAGAAGTATGGCTGGAATAATAATAAAAAATTAATTTGTTAAACCATGTTTTGCACTCATAGATACGAATTCTCATCAAATTCAAGATTTAAAATTGTGAAGAATGTATATATATGTGGACTGATTGAAGATATATGATTCCTTAAATTAAGGAATTTTTTCCGGTAAAAAAAAATATAAACTTTAAATATAGATTTTATTAGTAGTGTATACCAAAGAATATTGTTACATTTAAAATTCATATGAAGAAGAATTCTATTAATTTTCAAATTCAACATCTCATAAAAATAATATAATACACTTTTACATTCTATGAAACAATCTTTAAAACCCACCGTTCAACATGCATAAAATGTAAAATTACCTAACATGAATCATTATAACTTTCTAAAATCAGTACACAATTTGCTCGGTATGTACTAATAGTCTAATAGTTAAGAGTTAATATTTGCTATGACATCTATTGGTTGGAAAGAATTCTATTTTGTATGGAATTCGAAATGAAAAAACATATTCTGAAAATCAAATCTGGTTTAGAGATCGATTTCTTAATGGCCTTAAATTATGCAAATATATTGTTTCAGTTTTTAGGATTCTTTTTTATGATCTCAGTCTTTGCATTATATGAAATCTATACTTATATAAAAAGTCATCCTATTTACTAGAAATGGTAGGCAGAAAAGTCAAAGGTAATTAATGCTTGCTGTAAATAAAATGATATTAATTACATATTTGTTTTGGTATTTATAGACTTGACATTAAAGATTTGTTATGGGATAAAAATCAGAACCAATTTTTTTACCTTTGTTGGAAAAGTCAAATGTAAGTATAGATTTGTTTTATCCCATAGCATCAGTTTAGTTAAGAAAATCCCATCAAATGAGTTTTATATGTCAAGCCTATGAATCTATCATTATATAAAAAGAATAATTTTTTTACAAATTTAGAAACCTTTTCCCGCTAAAATCATTAAATATATCCTACATATAGTAATTGTTGGACAAATCTGAATAGGCAAAAAAATCGGCTCATTAATTGTGTAAAGATTTGTTTCTCCTGTTTTTTAGTTTATCAAAACCGTTGTTTGACAATAAATATTTGTTTTTCTTTTTTCTATTTTTAGTATAAATCTACACGAGCTTATCTCTTCTCTTACAAAATCCCATTGCATACGTCTCACGTGTTTAAAAAATTTCATCCCTTATCTATACAGATTTGAAAAAATAAAATAAAATAGAAACCAATTCATAATTATTACTAGAAAACCATTAAAAAAATAAAAAAATAAAATAGAAATCAATTCATAATTACTACTAGAAATCCATTATCTACTTTAAGAAGTTCATTTTCATCGGTCTAATTACTAATATTTTTACAAATATTATAAGCTAACCATACAAAAAAGTATAATAATAATTTTGAGATGATGTGTAATCAAATTTTTTCATATTCTCTTATACAAAATAATTTTACATTGTTTGACCCCGAATCTTTAATTTATAATTTGTTTATCCTCCTTTTTAATTTATAATTATTTTTTTTTTCTTCCTCTTTTTAAATAGGAGCAATAGTAGTTTTCACTTCCGCCATTGAGTGACTCAAACTCAAGGTCTATTTATAATATTGTTAATTTAATATTATTCCCGTGCATCGCACGGGGCACACACTAGTAAAGATTTAATCGGTTAAAATTAAATCCTTATTTTACGTCACCCATAAATAAAGTAGATGTCAAGCCTAAATTGAAGGGTTTAAATGTCTATATAGTCATTGATTTACGTAAATACATCTAATGTTTAAAGTTTGTGTAGATTAAAAATTCCTTCTTATCTTTTTACAAAAAATCTTATTATTATTGTATGGAAAATCTTATCCCGTGTCTCGCACGGGTCACGTACTATATATATCCCGTACATTTTTCTGTATTCATGTATATAATTATAAGTCTGGATAAATAGCCTTAAAATTGTGCACCCCGTGCATCGCACGGGCTCTATACTAGTTGTAGAAGAAAAGGAGGAAGATATCATAATCGATTCAATATGAAATATATAGACATTAAATGAAATTCAAACATAATTATTTTTTTATAAAAATTATTAGTTTATATCGAAGGCTGACTCTAAAGCATAATTTTTTCTATATAGAATTTTGAAGCGTGAGAGTGTGCCATGTAGTCTCTATCTCATTCTCAAATTATATATAGGAGGATATCAAATATAATAAATGAATGAGTATTTACTATTAATTAAGTATTGTCAAGATAGATTTATCATGCAAATATCATAGTTGATGTTAAAAATAGAAATATATATAAGAATATCGTTTGAAAATAAAAATGCTTTGATTATAGTTCCAAAAATAATATTCATTGCAACATTTTTATATTTTTTTCTTTTCCATTTAGACATGTACTTTTTAAAATATAAAATGAATTCAATCCATTTGAACTTTGACTGGATGGTTTTCGCAGGTCGGGTTTCACATTAACATGTGCTCGTTTAAATTTGTTTTTAAATGATTTTTTAAAGCAAATGGTCAATTTAGGTTAGGACAAAAGTGTAGTGGTGTGAGCTAATTAACAACGACTTTTTTACTAGACCAGCACAAATATAATTTTTTGTCATAAATGTCTTACCAAAATATGTAGCATTATAAAAAATAATATAAAAATATAATACTAAAGAATATAAATAAATAAATTATATTTGTAATACGACGGATCTAAAAAGTTGTGTTTAATAAAAAAATATTCCAAAGGAAAATAATAATAATAATAAAAAAGTCTATTAGGAGCTTTTTGGTGGGAATGTATTATGATTTAGTCAACTTTTGGAATAAATTAAATTGTCGGTGTGGGTGTGATATGTGCTTTGGTGTGTTTAAATATTTTTATAAAATGTCCCATTTATTTATTATTATAAAATTTAACGTATTTTAAGCAGCGATATTATTAAAATTAAGAAAAGTAAGGTTTCGGTATATTGTAAAATACCATATATTATAATGTATACATACGAGAATACATAGATTTAATGAAAAAAAAAAAAAATCATTGTATGGTTATCACTGTAAAAATCATTGCCGAGATATATTATCTCTATTGGGTTTTTTCGAGTCTGTATATGTGTTAATTTTATGTGCTTCTTAGTTGTATGTGTCAGAATTACAATACATGTGTACTATGACCTTTAAATATATTTTAATAGTTAATAGTTTTTGTATTTTGTTCTCACTTTTTTATCTATATGTATAATAAATTAAACATCTCTTGATTAAATTGTCTATCAGTATTAATTGAAAATTATTTTTTTATCAATTAATAAATGAATCTATGAAGTTATTATATAATATGAGTTAAAAAGTATTATAAATATAACTATATAAGACTTTTCGACACAAAACCATAATTTTTTTTAGTTTCGGGAGCAATATGAAATGTATGTACAAAATATGACTTAATATCGAGAAACAAAAGAAGTTACATAAAAAGGTGAAAAAAAAAATGTGGTAGTTCAGTGGATAAATAGTTTTTAACCTTTGCTTTTACAATTTTCTTCTAATTCAACATATCTGCACTAATTCAAATAATTTATTACCAATAAAAAAAGGCAAATAATTAATATTGATAACAATAATAATGAAAACTTAAAATTTTTTTTTTTATAGAAAATCAAAAGAAAATTCATCCGCAGTAAATAAAGCCACAAATAGTTTATTCCCTAAAACAAAAACAAAAACTAAAACCACATTAGCTATATTTTTTTTTTCCTACAGTAAAATTATTCGAACTGGCAAAAATACCATTCTCCTACAGCTGTGTGAAATTCCAAATAAAAAAAAATCGACAAAAAAACCAAAAACACACTAATTATTAAAGAGCAAAAAAAAGCACAGCGCCCAAATCAGCCCCCAAACCCCCAAATCGCCGCCGCCCCAAGCCCTCCACCCGCCGCTCCCCACCGGGCTCCCCTCGCCGCTCCTCCCACCGGCCGTCGGCGCCACCGCCGGCTCCCCCGTCGGTTCCCCCGCCGGCGCATCCGCGCTATGCTCCACCCCATTGAGGCTGAGCGTCCCCGTTGATTTTGTGTTGTCCGACCCCATATCGTGCGCCCTCAGATTCCCATGGCTGTCTACGCCGGGCCCCACCTGCCACAAGTGGTTCACCTCGTCCGACGCCAGCCGCCCCGGCAGCTGCAGCGTGGCGGAGAACGAGATCCGGCCGCCGGAGTATCTCGCGGACCGGTTTGAGACGCGGTAGGCGATGGGCGACTCGCGGACGGTGAGCGACGAGATGTTGGACGTCTGGACGACGTAGGACCCGTTAGCGGCCCGGAAGGCGATGAGTGCCTGGGCCCCGAGCATTCCGGTGGCTGTCGGGTTGAGGGCCCAGGAGACCCAACCCGAGGCCGGGCTCGCGGCGGAGTAATTGACGGAGAGGGTGCTCTGGTCCACGTCGAAGCCCCAACGGAGAGTGGCGTTGAGGGGGCCGAGGTCTTTGCAGTTGGGGAAATTGGGGTCGGGGGTGTGTAAATTGCACGGTTGGGAGAGGGCCGGCGAGATTAGGGCGGCGGCCATGGCGGCGGCGAAGAGGAGGTAGGAGGCAGCCATGGATGGTGGGTTGGGAGATTAAAGGGTGTAATCTGTGAAGTAATGAGTGAGAGAGTAAAGTGGCCTATTGTGGAGTGGGTTATATAGAACAGAATAGACCTACTTTTTTTTCTATTTTGGTTATTTTTT